CAGCAGGTTCTCTGGAGAAGCCACTTAGAACTTCCTTTACACAACAAATGAAACGTGTACCTGCGGGACTTGGCACTCGCGGGGGGTTGTCGTGGGCGACTCGTTTAAGCGGTGCTGCTTTGCGTGGGAAGCAGCCCAGTTTCTGTGAGGTACTTTGCGCCTGCCAAGTCCCACGTGTGAATACTGATTAAGGTTGTCAACTCTGGCCTGGGAAGTTCCTGGATATCTGGGAGCAGTGCCTGTGAAGGGGGCAATTTAGGGAGGGATTTCTCCTAGAATCTATGGTCTACCAGGCCCCAGCTGGAAGTTGGCAACCATTGCCTTGCCACTTCCAAGCCTAAAATGGGGGCTGGGACGGTTTGATTTTTACCTCAGAAAGGTTGTAGAAAGGAAGAAAGCGGAACCCGCCCCCCCTTACCTCTCCATGCTGAGTTTTGTATGCTTTACACCCCAGCCAGATTCCAGTATCAAAAATGAGCTGAATTTGGGGCGGCGGGGTGGTGGTGGGTGTTTGATGAGCCAGAGTATGGGGGGGGGCCTCCCCTCAAACAGCCCACCTCCAATTTTTGATTGGAAAGGGACAACCAAGCAATTTTTAAAAACCACCACTCTGCTCACCATGCTCTCTGGGATACACATGGGTTTCTCCAGTGGGCCTGTCATGATCTGGGCTGTGCCACCAGAGGCCTACTAGGCCCAGGGAGCCTGGCTAGCAGTAGGTGAGGCTGGGCCTACAACTCTCAGAAGCCCCTGAGAGGTCTTAGAGCCAAAATGGACCAATAGGGAAGAAGAGGGCTGGGGAACAAAAGGGCTGGTGCCAGAGCAGAAGCTGTTCTTCTACCCAGAGGGCAGAGCCAGAAGGAAGGCTGCTGCAAGGGAGAGACCCTCATCCTGAGGGAAGGGTGAGTAGTCTAGTGCCACTTGGAATAGTGAGGTAGGGACAGTCTATGTTTAGACGCGTTAGGGCATTTGATTTCTTTTCTTTTCACCCACTTACTGTTATTATTCTGCACCTTGTTGTTTGATCTCCTATAAAATAAATCTTTTCCTTGTTTCACTCTGCCTGGTCCTCACACCTGTTATTCGGCCAAAAGGGAGGTCTGAAGGTCTTGGGAGGGTGCTCTGGGCCTTCTCAAGGGAACCTAAATCCAGAGTGGTGGCAGTATCAGGTGACACCCCACCTAAGCCATGACAGGGCCCAATGGTGACCCCCCCCCCGAACACTGTTTCAGACTGGGGTCAGGAAGCAATTTTTCTCCAGGCCGCTTTGGCTGGGGACCCTGGAGGTTTTTTCTCATCTTCTGGGCATGGAGCAGGGGTCACTGTGGGTGTGGAAGGGGAGGTATTTGTGAATTTCTTGCCTTGTGCAGGGGGTTGGACTAGATGACCCTGAGATCCCTTCCAACTCTATGATTCTATCGTCCCTGCTGTCCTCACCCTTATCAGGCATTTGCACACGCAGGGATTTTAAAAGAACACGCCATGCACATGTGAATGGGTTACGTCTGATACAGGTTGGGGAACAGGCCCAATCGGTGTCCTCTGTAACGTGTTTGCCCCGTCCCGTTGCAGTTTGTTGAAGTGTTTGAGAACACAAGACATACCAAAAGTTC